GAAGAAGAAGAAGAAGAAGAAGAAAAAGAAGAAGAAGAAGAAGAAGAAGGAGGAGGAGGAGGAGGAGGAGGGGGAGGAGGAGGAGGAGGAAGAGGGGAGGAGGAGGAGGAGGAAGAGGAGGCTGAAAGGGGGGAAGGGACGAGTTAATTTAACTTATACGTAGGATGGCAATAATTGACTGTTATCAACTTCTTTGCGTTGGCTTATGCTGGTACGTACCTCCGTTCTCTGACGAGCAAGCCAAAAACATGAAGCCAACCTCGGTATTGAGAGTCATGCGGAACGTGGATGAATGACTTTCTCGTTCCCGGCTTTCAGTATTACAACAAGTTATTTTTAACTGAGATAAATATGAGCAACCACCAAGTTAATCGTCGTTTAGTTCCGAGCAAAAACTAAAGAGATACTCAGATGACAGATGGACGATACAAATAAAGAAGAAAAACTCTTTAGTTGCGTCAATCCTTTCCCCGCTCTAGGCTACTTTAAAACAAGAGTATTTGATGGCACGACAGACAGGTAAAAAATAATCATTTACTTGATTTTTGATAGCTACATATTTGAGGTACTTCCTGGTATAATGAAATGTTATTTTCAAATTTCTTTTTTCTTTCTTTAAAAAAAAAAGATGTTTAGATGTCTTATGTCTCTTTCCCCTCATTTTGTTGGCACATAAGTCATCTTTTGATTGATGCGCGATGTGACTTAACCTCGACCTCAAACAGAAATAAAGACATAACATTTTTTATCCTGCACTCCAATTGCCGTCTCAGTGATGTGGCTTAACTCCTACGGAAAGGCACTTTACACGAATTTTCCTCACTTCCCCAAGGTGGGAATGGGTACCCAGCTGTAGACAGTGAAAGATCTTGTCAGTTTGTTAGTATTTGAGAGCTTAATCAGCTGCTTTCACTGTATGCGTCTGTTTTATAGCCTGCTTGGGTAATATTATAGTGTAAAGCGCATAGAGTTTGCTGTCGAGCGGGGATATGCGCTGTACAAATGCTATTTATTATTATTATTATTATTATTATTATTATTATTATTATTATTATTATTATTATTATTATTATCACTTTCAGAGTTCTTTTCATGCGTCGTGTAGATCAAGGGCCACGTATATGTCACAGTCGTCTGTTCTCACACAAAAAAGCACACGTCAGCCCATGGAATATGCGGTGGAAAAATATGGTTAATTAATTATGAAACAGTGTTTCGTCAGACCTATTTCTATAAGTCCTCTTTCAAAGAACCTTTCCTGTGGCAGCGTTGATGTTTATTGACTGTGGAACGTTCTGATTTGTCTGGGAGGGTTTTGTGTGATTTTTCCTTTTTCGTTTTTTGTTACCTCTTATTTCATCATCTTGCGTAACCACGGAAAAGAGCCAGACATATCGTGAGTGGACAGTAATCTGTTGGAGACTGACGATGTTGGAAATACGATTACACCTCGAGAGTATAGGCACTTCTCTATTGAGACCGCGTGGCTTTATGTCGATGTGTCTAATGCTGGGTGCAAGACTGTCGCATCTGACATTTTTCTCTCCTCTGTACGAAATGAAAATCTTTCTCCCCCCCCCCCTCCCCAGGGGGTTATAAATCAGCGTAATGTGTCTTTGATGTCACTGACTGTTCTATTCGGAAATGGAAATATTTTCTGGCTTCGGCACAGACAGATTTCTTCTCACATCTTTAAGTTTTGAACAAGTGTTTGACTTTGGCAATAATTAATTTGTTTAAACCTGCACCTTCATGCATGTGTTGGTAGGTGGTTGGCTGGTTTTCTGCTATGGTTTGCTCGTTCTTTGCTATTAAACATCTATCGTCTTTATCTCTCCTCCTTCTTTGTTGCTTTTAACTTTTTTGTAACATCTTCGGCACTTATATGACCTAACTGTGTTGCAAGTGCCGTAAAACGCTAACTAAAACCAAAACATAACTTATTTGACGTGTTTTCAGAGAAGGTTCTGAAATCGAATGTGTTGAACTTTCAACTTCTGCTACAGTGACAGCTTAGTTATGTGTGTCTTTTTCATCTCTTGAATTTCATGCATTCCTCCTTTTGATTTTGTTTTTTGTGTAGTTTGTCATTAGTCGCCTTTTCCTTTCTAAAGTCTTGATACATTTATTATGTATCTTTCAATGAATCTGTATTTCTGCCTGTCTGCCAGATCACTGTCTGTCTGTCTGTCTGTCTGTCTGTCTGTCTGTCTGTCTGTCTGTCTGTCTGCCTGTCTGTCTATAATTTGAGTACCCTTGAACATACTTGACGGAGTTCTTGTTAAATAGTTGTTTAGGATGTATTAGCATGATGTCGGGCATGTTGAACCCGCGACAATTTGCTTCACGATAGATCTTGACACATCCTGTCTTTTCCCCACATATAGATTATTCAAGTCTTTATGCTGAACTAAAGTCAACTTTTCAGTGTGCTAACAACAACGTCTCGCAGTTTTTAGAAAAATGCATTGATCGGTAGACTGCTTTGGCGAAGCTTTAGCTAGAATCAAACAGCTAAATCGTTTCTGAAAGCACCGAGCTACGGATGGGCTAATTTTCTCATCTTTACTTAACCGTCTCTTCCCCTTGTCGCGACGACTCCCCGCCTCCGTTGCAGACGTTTCATCTTACCTCTTTAACAAAAAATACCCCCCCCCCCCTCAAACCAGTTAAAACCAAAATAAATTTAAAAAACCCAACGAACAATCCCTTCCTCCCTGTTTAGTCGCGTTGTTTGCTAAGTGGTCAGTGATTTCGGGTCGGTCTTTCGTGGGAATAAAATCAATCCAAGGCGTTCTATACGACAATATTTTAAATAATAAATAGATACCATATGGACAAAAAAATAGAACATTCACTTCATACTTGCCATTCCTGTTTTAGTAGAAATGGTTAAAAGTGAAAAGCGCCGAGAAGTGTCAAAAGGAAGTACCGGTGGTGCTTATACACATTACTTCTTCCATAGTCAGTTGCTTGTAGGCATGTGTTTTGTTGGCGTGCATAATTTCTTGAAGTAAAGTAAGACATGAAAAGTGCGTTTATTAGCACGGTTTAAGCCATACATTGTCCAGGTTATTGCCTTCTGATTCTTAATTCTCACGAACGTATTATAGAAAGTTGACTGGAATTTTTTATTTATTGAAAGCACTGAGGCACGCATGCTTGTGTTGTATGTTTTAGGTATTCAGATCAACATTATATTTCATAGCACAGTTGAGCCTTTCCATAATTTTAGACTTACGATCCATTAAGAGAAGACGGTGCAAACTGTGTTGTTGTGGTTGGATAAGAAACCCCTGTAGGTTCGAAGTGAGTGCATGGTTATTGAATAGAGAGTGTGTTGTTGTCGGTCGGCCTTGAGAGTCCACTCAAGTGTGAGCAAGAGTAAGACAGTGCTGGCCAGCTTGGCTC